AAAATCCATCCAAATGTAGTGGTGCATGCCTGTAATCCCAACACTCGGGCAATTGAGGCAGAATTGTAAATTTTAAAACAGCCTGAGGTACAGATAGTGACATTCTCTCAAAATGAAGCAAAACACCACAAAAAAATTCAACCATGGCAGGAATGGAGAGATGGCTCAGAGGTTAAGAGCACTGACTGCTACTCCAGAGGTCCTGAGTTCAATTCCCAGCAACCACATGGTGGCTCACAACCATCCATAATAAGATCTGGTGCCCTCTTCTGGTGTGCAGACATACATGGAGGCAGAATGCTGTATACATTAATAAATAAATAAATAGATCTTAAAAAAAAATTCAACCATGGCATATTCCACTCAGTGGACTAGAAAAGGAAGTCCTATGATCATCTACCACATGGATAAACTTGGAGGATTTTTTTTAAAGATTTATTTATTATGTATACAGTATTCTGTCTGCATGTATGCCTCCAGACCAGAAGAGGGCACCAGATCTCATTACGGATGGTTGTGAGCCACCATGTGGTTGCTGGGAATTGAACTCAGGACCTCTGGAAGAGCAGTCACTGCTCTTAACCTCTGAGTCATCTCTCCAGCCTGAACTTGGAGGATTTTATGTTAAATGAATAATTCAAAAAAATTTAATGTGCACATGGTTCTACTTATATGCAGAACCCAAACCTGACCCAGAATTATAATTTTTTTTGAAAACCAGAATTTATCAGGGCAACAATTAGCACCAACACTTTCCTTGAGACAGGGTCTCTTACTGAATATGGAGTGAGCCTGATGGACAGAAAGTCCTAGCAATCCTCCTGCCTCAGTCCCCACAGCACTGGGGAAGAGGCACATGCTCAGGATGCCTGGCTTTCTACCTGGGTGCTGGAACCAGAATTCATGCTTGAAAGAAACACTCATTACCTACTGAGCAATCTCTCCACCTGAAACCTGGGTTTTTACTACCAGGTCAATAAAGACATTTTAAAATTAAATCAACTCCCTACCCCTAAAAGCTATTTAGGGACCACAATGCCTACTGATACAGGTGTGTTCTGTGCAGGTGGCAGGTTGCCAATTGTCCTGAAACATGTAAAGTATCAGCACTTTAACTTAACCCAGGGCAACTGTCAGCACAGTGAAAACCACAAGTAACATTTTATGATTACATAGTATTACTATAAGATGCCTTTGAATTTACAGACTTGGAGTTACCTCTGATTACTCAATTGATTACTGTAGAACTTACATGCCAGGTGAACATGAGCTAGCTCAGAAAGAGTTAAGTTTTAAAATTACTCTACATGTGATCCAAGTCAGTGTAGTACGGAGGAAAGTAATGGTATTATTCTACCATATTCAGTTTGATTGTTAATCCCATGTCAGACATTACAAAATATCAATCTAAGAGAATATTTCTCTCCTAGATTTGATTTTGAAATGTTTGGTTGGGGGATTCAATTCAAACCAGCTGCTGGACTTGAGGAGCAGCCACTGGTTAGGAAGCACTGCCAAGTCGTACCCCCCCACACACACTTTTGTGGGGAGGCCAAATAAGCTGATGAAAGGATGAGCTTTAGCAGTCTGGGCCATATTAGTCCCACATGCTCAATACCACTCAGTTGTTCACATGGTACAGTAAGCCATGTGTCCATGGGTTCTGTCTCTCCCAGTCAAAGAGAAATTTTATAGGAAAACACTGCAAGATCCACAGCACCTAGGACATCCACAACACAGCAAATCTGTACCAAAAATGTACCAAGCATTAATCTTAGGAAAGACCTAAAATAAAAATTCCCTTCAACACCTCTAAGCATTACTTAATCTTCATTGCCAAAATTGTCATGTAATGAGTACACACACACACACACACACACACACACACACACACGATGCATACATGCTCACTTGCACTCACGCATATAGTTTTGATGTCCAAGAATCTATGTGAGCCAGGCATAATGTTGTACACCTTTGATCCCAGCACTCGGGAGGCAGAGACAGGTGGATCTCTGTGAGTTCAAAGCCAGCCTGGTCTACAGAGTTCGAAGACAGGCTCCAAAACTACAGAGAAACAACCACAAACAAACAAAAAACCCCTAAAAAACAACAACAACAAAAAACTAAATGTGTATATAATCCAACATAAACTGTAGCTGTTACTTTACACAAATTTAACAATATTACTTGATCTTGAAGTTTGAAGCATAATTAATTCTTTTTCTTTTCTTTCTTTTTTTTTTTGGGGGGGGGGAGGGTTTCAAGACAGTGTTTCTTTGTGTATCAGACGAGACTTTCCTGGAATTCACTCTGTAGACCAGGCTGGCCTTGAACTCATAGAGATCCATCTACCTCTGCCTCCCAAGTGCTGGAATTAAAGGCATGTGCCACCACTTCTCAGCCATAATTAATTTTAATTTACCAGGGATCACTTAGTTTTATAGACAATAAAGATCTTTCTTTTCCTTTTCTGTATGTATCTGCTATCTTTTTTCCTGTGTATTCATTTGAACCTGGAGCTCACTGATTCCACTAGGCTGGCAGGTAGTGAACTCCAGGGATCTGCCTGTCTCTGCCTCCCCAGGATTGGGATTACATCTATACCTGTTTTTTATTGCAGGGCTTCTGGTTATCTGAGCTCAGGCCTCAATGCTTACACTTTACCAACCAAGTTGTAGGTAGCTCCTCTTGGCTTCATTTTCTTGATGCTATCTGAAACACAAACACTAACTCTTACTCCCTTTTCTCATGCAGCATGTTTTCTTTTCTTTCTCTTTTTCTTTTTTTCATACAGGCTCTCATGTAGCCTAGACCCTGAACTCCTGGTTTTACTGCCTCTACCTCTCAAGTGCCAGGATTACAGGTATGTGCCACCATGTTTGGCTTTGTATTTGTTTTTGCTGCCATAGCCAAGATGGCTCTGGGTAGACCTACTCCTTACATACACATCTGTCCCATTTTCTTTACTACTAAAGTCCTTTGATGAATGATAGCCAATGAATAGAAATTGCTTGTTTATGAGGTGACTGTAACTTCTAGCATTATGGAATGAAGGTTTATTTAGAGTGTTCTAAATCTTTGGAATACAAGTTAATTGGTCTAACCTTAACTGTGGAAACATATCCTTGTTTTTGTAGGATTCCTGTCTTGCTCTCAGTACAAGTGAGACAAAGTAGAATAAGTGACAGTAGCTCAGTTTTTGAGGGGAACTATACACAAGCACAGTGGAACATTCTTAGATGACATCAAAGTTTTTTTATGTCAAGGTAGCTTTACTTGAGTGAGGGCAAGGGAACTGACACTTGAACTGTGTCTTTTACAAGATGCTTCTACCCTCAAGGAATTAAGGAGAGCACACCTCCCTAGTTCTCAAATTCAGGAGATGCTTTAACTCTGTTCTGTAACTGAGAGAAACCCAGGAAAGCTGTATAAAAGTTTATTTTTTTAAAGAAATCTAATCTTTAAGTAACTTTCAATTTAAAGCTCAGTTTAGTTATCAGCAAATGAAGGTATAACACAGACTTTTTTTTTTGGTTTTTCTTTTTTAAAATTTATTTTTTTTTATTATGTACACAATATTCTGCCTCCAGAGGGCACCAGATCTTATTATAGATGGTTGTGAGCCACCATGTGGTTGCTGGGAATTGAACTCAGGACCTCTGGAAGAGCAGTCAGGGCTCTTAACCTCTAAGCCATCCCTCCAGTACCCTGTATGACAATTTTAAATTGTATTTTCATGAAAAGAATGATACCACGTTGCACATGGAGGCACACACCTTTACTTCCAGTTCTTGGAAGGCAGAAGTAGGCGATTTCTCTGAGTTCACGGCTAGTGGGTTAGATATTAAGTTTTAGACCAGCTAGGCCTACATAGTGAATGAAACCCTGTCACAAAAGCAAACTTTCTGTTGTTGTTCAAAACAGGAAATATCCAGCATTCTCTACGGAAGACAGGACTGGTTCCAGCATTTCCCTCTTTCACTACCAAGTACTTTTTTGAGCAGCTCCCCTATTTAATGAAACCACAGGGCAAATGGCAGTTACAACAAAACATCAGCCACCAAGAGGCAGCTTCAGCTCAGGAGAGAGCATCGTGACTTCTCATGGATTCTGGTTTACTGCACTTAGAAAAACTTTTGAATGATTTCTAAAAGCAGTCTTGTGGGACATTCCAGTTATACTAACACCTGACTTTTTAGAATCCAAGTAAAACTGAATTTGAATGTGCTTCTAGTTGTAGTTATTACCTCTTAAGACAGCCCAAGCTTACATTTCTCATTGTTCTCCCACCCAACTTCATATATGTGTGACACTGGGAACATTCTGTGACTTCAGGACAAAGCCATGCTAATTGCTATGTGCTCTTTAGTTGCAAAGAGCACTGCAAAGATATTTTGGCTAAGTTGAATGCTTTCTCCACTATACCACAGTCTGGTTTAAATGATTTCATCACCTACTCAAAAGGCTGCTACAATTTTAGTGGTTTTCTAGTCACAGTCAATAATAAAGAAAAACCAAACCACTCCAAACCCTAATATATCCAAAGCAAGTTTAAAAGGACCAGCCACTCCCTCAACATTTAAACAACAACAACAACACACACACACACACACACACACACACACACACACAAACACAAGTGATTGAAGCAATTTATATTCTGTTAAGAGTTAGGAGCTGCAAAATGGTAAGTTGGGGGGGAAAATCATTTTGTCTGTGTTAGCTTCTTAAATACTATTTTAGGTACCAAAGGCAGTAGAATTCACTTTACAGTAGACTTAAGAGCATTTTTTTTCTTTTTTATCTTACCTTGTGGCAACAAGAGGGTAGCTATGACATGGTGATGCCCAGGCATCTCTTGTCCATGGCATACAATCATAAAGCAGCAAATCCTTCTCGGTCACAGCCATGAGAACAGGCCTCCATTGCTGTCTTCCACCATCTAGTTTTGCCTGTTACAATGGTGAGATTCAGAATCAGAGCTAATGATGATATAACCATGAGCTTTTCGTGAGCACTGGCCTAATACTGGAGGAGGGGGGTGTCTTTGTTTTGCTCCCCCACCCTAATAGACTTGAGATACACAATCATTCCCATGAGGTTACTTCCATAGGTGGGTATTCTCCACTGGGAAGTGTGAAGTGGGGGTGTATCTGAAAAGCTAACAAGTCACAGGCATTATCTAGTAACATGATAATTTTACCCCAGTCCTTAAAAACTGAGCATCAGCTGGGCGGTGGTGGCAGAAGCCTTTAATATTAGCACTTGGGAGGCAGAGGCAGATGGATCTCTGTGAATTCCAGGTCAGCCATTCTACTGAGCAAGTTCCAGGACAGTCTTCAAAGCTATGCAGAGAAACCCTGTCTTGAATACTTGCCATATAAGCCTGACAACCTGAGTTTGATCTCCGGAGCTCACAGTGGTTGGAAAAAACTGACTCCCAAAAGTTTTCCTCTGACTCCTCCATGCCTGGACAGTGGAATGCACAAGCCTGCACTTACAAATTACACACACACACACACACACACACACACACACACACACACCAAATGCACACACAATGATAACTATAAAAATGTTGATCAGATGCAGTTTGTCTTTCTGATACTCTGATTCAAACAGGGGCCTCATTGTAGACAATGTCTCTACTGTTGAACTAGGTCCCCAGTGCTACCCTGTTATTTTGGAAAACACGGATGCAGGAGTCCTTCATTTTATTTAGGAAGTACATGTTTTGGTTTCAAATATACACATTTTTATCTGCATAGAGCTCAGTTATCTAGAAAGTTTAAAAATCTAGGAAAACAGCCACCTACTACTATTTATTCATATGTCAAGGATTCAAGGTCAAAATGGAAAGGACTATATTCAAGAAAAAACGTGTCACCGTCAAAACCCTTGCCCTTCACAGATAAGGTTGCTGAAGAACACTGTAATTTATCCCTGCCCCTCCAAGTCATCACTGACTGCCTCCAGGAGAACTCAAGTTGGTGAATCACTTGTCTCTTCAATAGCTGTCTTCGTAAACACTTTTTCTTTCTTTTCTTTAAGATTTCTGAAGGAGGCTGAAGAGATGGCTCAGTGGTTAAGAGCACTGGCCACTCTTCCAGAGGACCTGAGTCCCATTTGTGGCATCTCACAACTGTCTTGTAACTCCAGTTACAGTGGATCCAAAAACCTCCTCTTCTGACCTTTGTAGGCATGCAGGCAAAACATCCAAACACATTAAAACAAACAAAAAACCCAAAACACTTCTGAAGGTAATTTGGATGTGACAGAGCGTTATAAAAACACACTTGGAATCTGCGAAAGGCCTAAGCTATTTGGTTCTGTGTTGTAATTTTTTTTTTTTTTTTTTTTTGAGGCAGGGTCTCTCTATGTAGAGCAAGCTGGCCTCATATTTACAGAGATCCACATGCCTTAGCCACCCAAGTGCCAGGATCAAAGGTGTACACCACCGTGCCTGGCGTATACTAAGAACATTTAACTCAGGGTCTCAGATTCTTCTGACACAGGGTCTCACCCTGGATGGCTTTGAACTCACAGAGATCTGCCTGCCTACCTCTGTCTTCTTAGCGCTGGGATTAAAGGTATGTGCTACCACACACCTCTGGATCTCTTTTCTCCTAGTTGAAGGCACAGGCTGATTCCAGGAGTGGAAAATGAAGTCTAGCCTATAAGAGGACCAATGTTCCCTAGTGCTCTAAGATTCATCTCTGCCAGCTGCAATCTGGTGGAAGAGTATCAGTTACCAGGCATAGTGGTGCATTTCTATAAGCCCAGCCAGCACTTGAGAGGTGAAGGCAGGAAGGTTAAATCTGTTATTAAAGGTCACTCCTTGCTACACGAGTGTTCAAGGAAACCTTGCCTCAACAATAAGTAATGTCAAATTTCTAGAGTGAGCAGGGGACAACATTTTGTATAATTTGTGATTTGTTAAAAGTGTTGATTCTTAGGGCCGGAGAGAGGGGCAGTGGTTAAGAGCACTTACTATTCTTGAGAAGAAATTGTTTAGTTCCTAGCATCCACAACTCCCTAAGCAGCCAAATGCCTTAAACTTCCTAATCTTCCTGCTTATACATCAAGAATACAGGTTTACAGGTGTGCCTGCTTTATACAGTACTGGGGATAGAACCCAGGGCTTTATGCATGCTAAGCAAATAATCTACCAACTGAACTATATTCACAGCTCTGAGCACTTAAGTTTTTTTGAGACAGGACCTAACATAGCTCAGGCTGTTACACAGAGAAACCCTGTCTCAAAACAAGATATCTTATATCTATCCAAGGATCCTTGGCCTTGCTCCCTCCCACCCCTCAGGGGTAAGAAGGTTTCTGATATTTGTGGGTTTTCTTTCCTTAATTTTCACTTGTAGGGCTGGAGAGATGGCTTAGAGGTTAACAGCACTGACTGATCTTCCAGAGGTCCTGAGTTCAATTCCCAGTAACCACAAGGTGGCTCCCAACCATCTATAATAAGATCTGGTATCCTTTTCTGGCCCTCAGGCATGCTTGCTGGCAGAACACTGTTTATATAATAAACAAATCTTTAAAAAACAAAGCCGGGCGTTGGTGGCGCATGCCTTTAATCCCAGCACTCTAATCCCAGCACTCGGGAGGCAGAGGCAGGTGGATCTCTGTGAGTTGGAGACCAGCCTGGTCTACAAGAGCTAGTTCCAGGACAGCCTCCAAAGCCACAGAGAAACCCTATCTCGAAAAACAAAAAAACAAACAAAAACAAAAATAAAAACAAAAAACAAAACAAAACAAAAAACCAACCAACAAACAAAAAAACAACCCTGACTCCACAAAAGTTGTCCTTTATCCTCTAACCTCCACATATTCTCTGTGGTATGTGCAGGCCCACACTCACAGATACACACACACCTTTTTAAGAGAAAAAGGAGACCATACATTTATATTTTCTTTCATTTGCATAAAAATATATAAAGATTTACTAGGGAAAAAGATATAGATTAGGGTGATAGGGACAGTAATACAGTAAGAATTTTCTTTGCCTATTTTCTTCCCTTTTTTTTAGTTTTTTTTTTCTTTTTTCTTTTTCTTGAGACCGAGTTTCTCTGTGTAGCCCTTGCTGTCCTGGAACTCACTCTGTCCCAGCTGACAATGAGAAATGCAATTTGATATCATGTGTGACCCCCCTCTTCCCTATTGTGCTGAACCTGGGATCTAGAAGAACCTGTGCTCTTCAGATCTAGCTTTCCCCCACATCCAGCATCCACTTAGGCTTCTGTGGTTCTTTCCATTTCATATCTTAGTTGTGGACTAAATTGAATATTGTTTAATGGCTTGTAAAATAGTTTATGTTTTCTTCCTCTGGTATTAGGGATTAAGTCTAGGCCTTGTATATATCAGACAAGTATTCTACCATGAAGTTAAATCTACAACTCTATATTTTGTATATTTTAAGTTCTTCTAGTTCAGGGACATAAACTAGAGACTGTTGTCCCTGGGAACACTACCAATAGTCTACAAAAAATGGCAAACATATGACGTCTGGGTCAAAACCACCCTTCAACCTGGTTTTCTAAAAATTTACTAAAACCTAGTTATGTCCATTTATTCTCATGATGTCTGAGACATCTTGCTTGCTATTATAGCAGAGTCAAAGCATGCTGCTATGTGTTATTAATACACAAAGTTCACTGACCCAGACATCCTTTTAAATATATATTTGTGTGTGTGTGTGTGTGGTGCATGGAGGCATGGAAAGGGTGTTGAATTCCTTTGGAACAGGAGTTATAGGCACTTGTACAACACAGCTTGTTATGTAGGTGCTAGCATCTAAACTCTGGTTTTCATGATTGCACAGAAAACACTTTTTTTTTTTTTGGTTTTTTGAGACAGGGTTGCTCTGTGGCTTTGGAGGCTGTCCTGGCACTCCCTCTGTAGACCAGGTCAGCCTCGAACTCACAGAGATCCCCCTGCCTCTGCCTCCTGAGTGCTAGGATTAAAGTCATGTGCCACCACCACCTGGCCAGAAAATACTCTTAACCACTGAAACATCTCTCCAGTCTCTTGACCCTAGTCCTAAATCACAAAAAGCACCCATGATTTTAAAAAGGATCCTCCTTGTAGTTATATTGCGATGATGATATCACGAAGAATAATTCTGCTGCTGGAGGTGTTGATGATTAGAAACCAGTAGCTAGATTGTAGAAAGGAAGTTAGAATCCTTAGCCATCAGGGAAATGCAAATCAAAACAACTCTGAGATACCATCTTACTCCTGTCAGAATGGCCAAAACCAAAAACACCAATGACAGTTTATGCTAGAGAGGATGTGGAGAAAAGGGAACAATTCTCCACTGCTGGTGGGAGTGCCAACTTGTACAGCCACTTTGGAAATCAGTATGGTGACTCCTTCAAGAAAATGGGAATCAGTCTACCACAAGATCCAGCAATTCCACTTAGGCATATACCCAAAAGAAGCACATTCATACAACAAGAACATCTGTTCAACGATGTTCATAGCAGCACTATTTGGAATAACCAGAAACTGGAAGCAGCCTAGATGCCCCTCAACCGAAGAATGGATAGAGAAAATGTGGTACATTTACACAATGGAATACTACTCAGCGGAAAAAAACAATGGATGAAGTTTGCAGGCCAATGGATGGAACTAGAAGAAACCTTTCTGAGCGAGGTAACCCAATCACAAGAAGACAAACATGATATGTACTCACTCATATGTGGATTTTAGACATAGAGTAAAGGATTACCAGCCTACAATCCACACTGCCAGAGAAGCTAGTAAACAGGGAGGACCCTAACAGAGACATACATATACATGGTCCCCTGGAGAAGGGGAAAGGGTCAAGATTCCCTGAGCAAATTGAGAGCATGGGAAGAGGGGGGAGGGAGCTACAAGAATGAGAAGGGAAGAAGAGGAAGGGTGCAGAGGTCATGAGGGAGCAGAAAGGTTGAGTCAGGGGAAGAATAGAAGAAAGAATATGTGATAGGTAGGGTTTTAGTGTAGGTGGTGGTAGGGGAGGATGGGAGGGAGAAGGGAACTGGGATTGTCATGTAAATCAATCTTGTTTTTCATTCAAATAAAAAAAAAGGACATTAGAGAGGAGGAACAAAAGACAAACAGAAGGGTTGCAATGTGGATATCCAGGAACTGAGTGATACATAATCTAAAGATATATCTGTAGACCGGCATGGTGGAGCAATGGTGAAGAGGTGAGACTCTCTCTCTCTCTCTCTCTCTCTCTCTCTCTCTCTCTCTCTCACACACACACACACACACACACACACACTCACACACACTCACACAGAGAGGAGAGGACAGGGAGAGGGAGAGAGAGAGAGAGAGAGAGAGAAAGAAAGATAGAGATTGAGATTATGCTGGTAGGCATAGATATAATACTCTAGATGTATGCCATAAGGGAAGCATTCTAACTCTGAGTAGGGATGAGTAAAACCCTTGCTCTGCCTCCCACCTACCTGTTCTGCCAGCCAGGCAATATGCTTGACTTCCTTGCTGCCTCCTGCTGTACTGGTTGCACCAAGCATGGCATTGAGTTCAGCCAATACCTGTGGGAGGAGAGCCATTATGTTGGTGTGGATAGCTACGAACCAGGAGTGTGCTGTGGCCGTATCTTTGCAGCGTAGGATCAAGGTATTCCTGCTATCAGGGGAATGTAGCTCTATCAATCTGTATGGAGAGAGAAAAGAGAAAAATGAGATAGGTTCTAAGTCATCACATCACCAGAGTTAACATATTAACTGAAAATCTAGTCTAATATTGTGATTTTCAAATAAAGATAATTTAATTCCTCAGAGTCCAATCCCAGAGAAAACTATAAATATATGGGACAATAATTGGTACTAATGGCTGGATTTGTTGTTGTACTATGCCTATGGGATAGTCAATATTGGGACACTTCACTTTGCCTTAATTTCCATATCAAAGAAACAGAACCAGTGCCTGTTGGACACTGCAGGCAGGAACACCAACACCCATATAAACTCATGCACACACACGTATATTTTGTATATAAAAGATAGGGTCACATGTATACCATGTGCTCTAGACAGGGCTCACACTTGCTATATACCTGAGGATAACCCTGAACTCCCATTCCTCTGGGTCTTCACCTCTCAAGTGCTCGGGTTACAGGTGAATTTGAGCACACAAAGCTAAAAGCACACCACCTTTAATCCCAGCCCTCAGGAGGGAGAGACAGGTGAACTCTTTAGTTCGAGGCCAGCCTGGTCTACAGAGTGAGTTCTAAGAGAGCCAGGGCTGTTACACAGAGAAACCTTGTCTCAAAAAACAAACAACAAAAAAATAAAAATATTTTTTAAATAATTAGGAGCTGGAGAGATGGCTCAGTGGTTAAAGGGGCACTTGCTGCTTGCTCTTCCATTGGACCCAGGTTTGAATCTTAGCACCCCAATTATGTGGTTCAAATAATAATAATAACATAAACTGCCTATAACTTCAGCTCCAGGAGAGCCAATGTCTCTGCCTGCTGTGGTCACTTATACTTATAGGAACAGACACAAAAACACATAATTTTTTTTTAATTAGGTAATTCTGGTATAAGTCATAAAAAGCCTAACAATGAACTGAAATGCATATTATTTGAAATAAAGGGATATTAGCAGGATATTACTTTTCTTTGTGAATATTATTCTTTATGAAAATTTGGAATTCTGCTTATTTAGTTATTTGAGACCAAGTTTCACTATGTAGTCCTGCTGGTCTGGAACTCCCTGTACAGACTCAACGGGCACCAAACTTCCAGAGATCCATTTGCTCCTGCCTCCTGAGTGCTGGTATTAAAGACACGTGCTGCTGCTGCTGCTACTATTACTTCAATACTTGGCTAAAGCTAACTTTAAATTAGCAGTTCCAAGACTGGTCTCCAGGGTTACTAACGGTCATGCATTAGTTCTCTTCTAGTTTGACAGTGGGATGGAGTCAAACTCAGGTCATTAGGGTTATGCAACAAATACTTTTACAAGCTCAGTCATCTTGCTAGTCTACTTTTATTGATTTTTGTTTTTTACTTGTGTCATCTTGTATTAAAAATTTTCGAGGAGGGGTTGTTGTTCAATTAATTTGTGTGTGGGGGGGTGTAATGTGTATGTAGATGTGTGTGCCACAGTGTTGAGTGTACAGGTCAAAGAATAACTTGTGAGAATCATTTTTCTCCTTCTATCATGTGAGTCCCAGGGATCAAACGGAGGTTGTCAGGCTTGGTGACAGGCAGCTCTACCTGCTGAGACATTTTGCTGGCACTACGAGAAGGTCTCACTATGCTGCCTGATTGGCCTCTGGGTTGTTTTGTCATATTGACACAAGGTAGGGTCATCTACTAAGAGGGAACCTCAATTGAGAAAATATCTCCAGACTGCCTATAGGCAAGTCTATGGGGCATTTTTTGATTGATAATTGATGTGGGAGAGTCCAACTCACTGTAGGCACTGCCACATCTCAGGCAAGTAGTACTGGATTCTGTAACAAAGCAGGGAGCAAGCCAGGAATGTGCATTCCTCATGGCATCTGTTTCAGTTCCTGCCTTGAGTTGTCCTGATTCACCTCAGTGGTGACTTGAGAGTCCTAAGATGGCATAAACCCCTTTCCTTTCCAAGTCCAAGTTGCTTTTGGCTATAGTTTTTCATCACCCTAACTAAAAAGAGTGGGAAGAGAAAAATGCCAGCCACTCTGCTACATAATTCGTAAGTGGGTAGGGAATTGGTAGCAAGGTTATTTCTGAAAGTGAAACTAAAGCATGCACTACAAAGAGGCAGGAGGACTATGATTCTACACCATCTTTGGCTGCTTATTGAGTTATATCTCAAAAGATAAAAACAGGAACTGGGAATGTGCCTCAGTTGAGAATTTGATCCTAAAGTTCAATTTCCACCACCGCAAAGACAAGCAAAGCCAAAACCAAAAAGACCAAAAAAACCAAAATCAACCCCCAAACAAAAAAGGCACCTAGCTGAACATCGTGGCTCCTTTGCTCAGGTAGCTAAGGCAAAACTGCAAGAAATTTGAGGCCAGCCTGGGCTATATAGTAAATTCTAGGACAGCCTATGATACACCACACCGTGAAACTATCAAAGAAACAAACAAACATAATTCCCCATACTCAGTGGTCAATGACTGCCATGACCTCATCCTAGCAAAAGAGTCAGAGCCATTCTCATTCACACCAAACTGGCTGGGAGAAGCAATTCTTGGTTCAGACTGCATGTCTTTAGACTGACCATTTTCTAGAAGGACTTATTTATTTCCACGCTGTTGCTCTATCACTGAGGCCTGCATAACATTCTTAAAAGACATACTAAAATTCGCTGGCAAGAAACAGACAAGAAATTTCCTTCACTCTTCCTACTGACCTACTTAGCACTAAAAATAGAAATCAGTTCATCCTTCTTTAGGCACAAAACAATTACTTTCTGGGGAAAAAAAAAAAAAAAAACCTTTACACTGTATACTGTCCTGAGACAGTCTCTCAGATAGGTCATGGAGCATTAGCAACTGAGTAGCCTATTAACACAGAGTAGCTTTTAAAAATCCTGGTTTTAGACCCTAATTATAAACAACTGGAAGAATGAGAATAAATCTACTATAAAATAAAACTAAGCTTGATTAATCAGGAGTAGACACTAGGACAAGAGGGCCCAAATGATGAAATGGGCAGGAAGTTGTTTTGTAGGTAGGATCACCAACTTTCATGAAAAGCAAAATCTTGTAGCTTCTTGGAAAGAGGTTGTGGAAAAGTTAATCAAGAAAACAGTAAACTCCCAAGCAGAACTGAGTCTAGGACTCCGAAGAGTCTGACTTGGAGCAGTCCTCAAAACCTACACAGGCAACATAGTAATGCTTGAAATGAATTGTTTTAAAGGAAAAACTAAAATGAAAACCCTGCTAATAGCAAACATGGAGGCAGTCTGCCAGTAATTGAGCCTATGGGAGAAAGGATGCATTTACAAGGTTAAAGGTTTTGGACTGTAGTCAAAACTCTAAGGATTTCCTGGGATATTTAACTGCAATTTCATCTGACAAGTCAAATTAATATTTAGGTAGATAGAAGCATGGAATTTTAAGCTAAGCCTATATTACTTTATCTACTTGGTTATGTCTTTGACATAACCTATGAGTTTTTAGTAGCAATCATGTGATTTTTATGTCACAAATCTCACATGTATGTTTTATTAAAAAATAGAATGAAGATGAGAAACTGTGAGTGAATGCAAAAGACAGATTAAAATTGCTACATTCAGCTGGGTGGTGGTAGCGCACACCTTTAATCCCAGCACTTGGGAGGCAAAAGCAGGTGGATCTCTGTGAGTTCAAGGCCAGCCTGGTTTACTGAGTGAGTCCCAAGACTGGGCTGCTACACAGAGAAACTCTTGTCTTAAAAAAACAAAACAAAACAAAACAAAAAAAAAAAAAGAAAGAAAGAAAGAAGAAAAGAGGGGCTAGAGAGATGGCTCAGAGGTTAAGGGCACTGACTGTTCTTCCAGAGGTCCTGAGTTCAATTCCCAGCAACCACATGATGGCTCATAACCATCCACTATAAGATGTGGTGCTGTCTTCTGGTGTGCAGATATACATGGAAAGCAGAATGTTGTACACATAATAAATAAAATCTAAAAAAAAAAAAGGAAAGAAAAGAGAAAAAAAGAAAAGAAAAAAGCAAAATAAACCACCACCGCCAACAACCAAATGCTATATTCCTACAAGGACACTGTGCTACTTGCTAAGAACAGGCTCATGTTCTCTCATGGGCTTCATCATTAATTAATTAGTTTTCCAGTTTCACAACACAACACATAATTATCAGAAGCATCTAGTGAGGCAGTAGAAACTCAGGTGGGCAAAGGCAGTAACCTTCATTTACTCACTTATTTTAACAGAGCACCCACTAGCTTTATAAATATAGAAACAAATCAAAGTAGTAAAATAATGATAATAAAAACAAGCTGCTTCCCTTTTGGTTTTGGTGAAACCTTGACATAGAAATGGAAGATGAACTATAACAAGATTCTACCACATGCCCATCAGAATAGTTACTACTGACAATGCTGGCAAGAACATGGAGCAATGGAAACTCTCACACTGTTGGCTGTTGTTAGCATAAAATGGCAGGTCACTTTCGAAGAATGCCTGGAAATTTTCTTTTTTCTTTCTTAGATTTATATTATGTATTTAATGTGTTAATATTTTGCCTCCATATATGAACGTGTACCATGTGTGGAGGTCGGTCAGGAGTCTGATCACTTGGGACTGGAGTTACAGACAGTTGTAAGCCATGTGGTGCTGGGATGAATGGTCCACTGGAAGAGCAGCCTAACTGCTGAGCCATTTTTCTAGGCCTGGAAGTTCTTAAACAAAACACACACCTACCATTTGTTTGTTTTCTGAGGGAAGGTCTTGCTATGTAGCCATGGCTGGCCTGAAACTCACAGAAAGCCACCTGTCTCTAACTAACAACTAACTCCAAACTAAAAACTGCTCAGGTGACCATCAAGAAGGCACAGTTAGGACAGGAGAGATGGCTCATCAGTTAAGAGTACTGGCTGCTTTTCTAGAGGACCAGAATTTGATTTCCAGCACCTACATAGTGGTTCACAACCATCTGTTACTTCAGTCCCAGAGGATACATTGGCCTCTTATGGCCTCTGTGGGGTACCAGGCATGCATGTGGGGCACAGGCATACATGTAGGTAAAATACTCATAAAATAATTTTAAAACCCCACAGATAGGGGCTGGAGAGTTGGCTCAGTGGTTAAGAGCAGTGGCTGCTCTTCCAAGGGACCCAAGTTCAATTCCCAGAAACCACAAGGCAGCTCACACCTATCTGCAACTCCAGTTTCAGGGGACCCAACACCTTCACACAGATATACATGCAGGCAAAACACAAATGTACATGAAATAAAAATAGACCATTAAAAAAATCCACAGATAAATAAATTGACATGTGTTTTGGCAGGGCTTACATAAATTTAAGGACTAAAGAGCTCCAAGTAATTTTACAGCTATGATCTTGTTTACTTTTGATGTGTGTGTATGGTGTATACACATGTGCTCGCTGTGTATGTCTATGGAGGCCAGGTTAATGTTGGTTGTCTTCCTCTAGCATGCTCTATCTTATTCTTACTGATGTTGCCCACATGCTTAGCTCTGTCTTCTAGGTCTTACAACTCAAGTGTGCTTAGGTGATGATTTTTTTTTTTTTTTTTTTTTTTGTGTCTGGGGGGTGCCTGCCTGTGGTCGTGTGTGTGTGTGTGTTTCCTGCCAAGACACACAGGACATACATCCTGGAAACAAAGTTTTGTGTGATCCCCACCAGCTACTTGTAATTCTGTTGCTTGCTTTTCTCGAGAGAATACTTCAATGCAAGTTAAAGTATCACCCTCACGGAATAACCAGTTTCTTTTCATTTGTATCTTAGAAAAAGATAGTCATTTTCAAATGTGGTATTTCAAGTAAGAACAAATTCCTTTTCAGTAGTAAGACTGAGAATCTTTACACTAGCCTCAGCCACCTGAGACCCAGCCTTGTACAGCACATCATGGCTAAGTACGAGGACCATCTGACTGGAATAAAGGGTATGGTACATACACCCCCACCCCAAATATTATGCAGTGTTTGACTTTTACTAAGATGAAAGCACTGGGTTTCATCACAGCATCTTTGTATGTGTATCCGCATACTTTGTTCTCAATTGTTCCCTCCTCCAGCTGGTTCCCTTTCTGCCTCCTTTCATTTTTTTCCCCAGGACTGTAGAACCTCCTTATTCACTCTGGGGGGCACCACACAGTCCCCCAAAGGTGATGAAGCCCTTTGCTGTGTGCACCACCATTTAAACTGCTGCTACAGGCAGCAGTAGTTCTTGGGTTGGGTGCCTGAGTCTTCCTTTCTGCTTTCCTTTTACTTGTAATCCATCACTACCTTGTATCTCCCTTAAGATTACTTTTTCCTTCTCATAATCCCTGTCCTAGTTTCCTGAGCTGCAAACATACATAGAGATAGTCTGCTACAATTTTAGCAGTTTCACACTGCTCTCTACACTTGGTTCTGAGGATCTCTTTCAAACCTGACAGTTATCAAATGCTTCCAGCATATGAGGCTAGAGAGAGATGGCTCAGGGTTTAAGAGCATTTGTTGCTTTTGCAGAGGATCCAGGCTCATGCCAGTGGTGGTGGTGGTGCACACTGCCTTTAATCCCAGCACTTGGGAGGCAGTGGCAGGTTGATCTCTGAGTCTGAGGCCTGCCTGGTCTACCAAATGAATTCCAGAACTACACAGGGAAACCCTGTCTCAAACAAACAAACAAACAAACAAAAAAGAAGATTCAGGCTCAATTCCCAACACCCACATGGTGGTTTACAAATGTCTGTAACTCCAGTTCCAGGGGGATCTGATGTCCTCTCCTGACTTCTATGGGCAATAAGTATTTATGTGGTGCACAGACATACATGTAGGCAAAACACTCACACACGTAAAGAAATCTTTAAAAATGTTTGCAGCATATGACTGAACCAAGAATGCAGCCCGAGTTTTAAGGAAAGTCAAGGTGACTATGTCTAACTTCATGATATAGTCAAATCATAATCACCTTCACCCTTCCTTCTTTCCTACAACCCCTCTTTCTCCAGAAATTTTACATGCTTTGCTCTTTTCTCCAGCTTCTAGCTGCATCAGCCACACCATAGGCATCTATTCTAGAAGGGATTTATCATGAAAGGGTTTAGCATTTCTGCCCTCCTTGGCCTGAGGCTCTCTCTCTCTCTCTCTCTCTCTCTCTCTCTCTCTCTCTCTCCTCTCTCCCCCTCCCTCTCCCCCTCCCTCCCTCCCTCCCTCCCTCTCTGTGTGTGTGTGTGTGTGAGTGTGTGTGTGTGTGTGTGTGTGTGTCTGTGTGTGTCTGTGTCCTAGATGAATTAAGGCTTTTTGATTTGTGATTTTTCTGTAACTGGTTTACTCAGTTATTTTACAACCGAGACTAATCTGGAACTCACTATGTAGCCCAACCTGGCCTTAAATTCACAGTGATCCTCTTTCCTCAATTTCCCAAGAGCTGGGATTAAAGGTGAGAGCTACCATAACTGTCTCAGTTATGACACTTTATGCCACAATTTCTTGGGATGAAGATATGGCTCAAGGATAAGCGCACACCTGATGTTCTTGCAAAGGACCTGAGTTTGACTCTCAGCACCCATGCTGGGCAAATTACTATTGCTTGTAACTCCAGTTTTGAAGGTACCCACAGCATATATTCACATAAATAAAAACATTTTATAGACTTAAAAAGTAAGCTACAATTTTTTTGTTTTGTTTTGTTTTGTTTTTTGAGGCAGGGTCTCTCTGTAGGTTTGGAGCCTGTCCTGGAACTCTCTTTGAAGACCAGGATGGCCTCAAACTCATAGAGATCCGCCTGTCTCAGCCACCCGAGTACTGGAATTAAAGGCATGCACCACCACCGCCCAGGAATAAGCTACATTTTTTTCAGCTACTACATAAAACATTCCAAGAAGTTTAAACCACATGAAAGCCTTACATGGCCAAGAAGGTCATTCTTGGCTGGTCTAGAATTCACTATGTAGACCAGGTCTGCCTGCTTCTTCCTCCCTAGTGCTGGAATTTAAGACATGTGCTACTATGCCTGACAAGACAAGCCTGGCTTCAGTTTCTTGCTGTGTTTCATGTTCTTTTACCTTACTCTGCTTAGGCACATGGGTGCGTTCGGATCAGAGACCATATGAATGAAAGCATATTGGGCCTGTCTTTAGGTCTTTAGACTTGTTTTTTGGTTTGTTTATCTTTTAAGTCACCCCCAACTCTGCCAAATCCCTGGCCTAACAGAGTCTAACAGTACTTTTTCACAAAGTCACTGAAATTAAAGCCATTATAGAACACAAGAAGGAAAATTATAAATTATTCATTCCATTGCTTGCATTTTATAGAAGGCAGAGGGGTCTGTGAAGCCTACTTGTCAGAGTCACATTGTCAGTTGATGTTCCAGATCTACAGTGTGATCTCTGAAATATAACATTACTCAAAATTAAGAAATTTCCTTATAGATAGGCAGTGACAGCACACGTCTTTAATCCCAGCATTCAGGAGGCAGAGGCAGGTGGACCTTTGCAAGTTCAAGGCCAGTCTGGTCTACAAAGTGAGTTCCAGGACAGCTGGGTTTTTACGCAGAGAAATCCTGTCTCAAAAAACCATAAAGAAATATCCTTATAAAAAGACAGGGGAGGCTGGGTGAGAAGATGGTGGGTTTGAGGCTATCCAGGGCTCCAAAATTAAAGACAGATCCCTAATTTCAGAATATCATTTTTCTTAATAATTTACACAGCAGGAGCCACTGATACTGTGCTATGTCCTTGAGTTTGAAGTCTGAGAGTGTGATGCTCTGAACAGTCACGCTCACCTGTTCTCCAGATCTGGCATGCTTAGGTTTCTAGCAGCAAAGCACATTTTGAGAGGGATGACCTTCCTGTCCTTGGTGCTGTTCTGATGCTTTGGAGAACCAGAGTCTTCACTACCACTGAAGTTTGGTGACTGGGGAGCGGCACCTTCCCACGGCAGATCTGATACTAAAGATGGCTTCTTGATATATGGTGTTACTTCTCGGATGAACTTGACTATGAAAAACACAACAATAAAAAACAAAAAGCAAAGGTTAGTATTGTTGTTTCTGATCAAATGAAAACTGAAATATTCACATACATGCAACATCTAGAGTGAAGTGAAAATCAAAATTCAAATGCTATGAATGTCTTTGAGCTTTATTCTACATCTTCTGAACTCACACTGAGGGTACTCACCTTAATGCTTCCACCCACTGAAACACACAGAACAATCTTAATCTCTTTTGTACATGAGAATCTTTCAAATGTCCGAAAAACATATCTTTCTTCCTTATACTATGGCAAGTATTTCAGCCCAATTGATAAAAGGGCAAATAAGGCTGAGATCCTACCCTAGAGGAATGCTTCACCTGGATAGGATACAGGAAACTACATACATTATTCTGTGTTTAAAAATGTGTCAAAGTATATACAAGCACAAAGCCAACTCAACTGAAATCCCTTGCCTTTTCAAAATAGTCTTTTCCCATTAAATTCTCTTTTGAATACATAATATAGATTGAGTATCCCTTATCTGATATGCTTACCAGCAGAAGCCTTACAAATTTTGAAGTATTCATATATACATGGAGGTAAAAATATTTGTATAAACATGGTTAGATGAACAGGAAATCCACTTTCATATAAACAGTATAAATATGCTTAGACAGGAGCATCTTCATTTGGACTGCAGTATTAGGTCAGGTATGGAATTTTCCACTTGTATCATGGTTGTGCTCAAAAAGCTTCAGGTTTTAGGTTTTTGAATCAGGTACTATTGATACACATTCACATAAAACAAAACCCAAAATTTCATACTAATGATAGATCTCTATCTCTAAAGGTAACTATTATATGATTGTGTGGAGGTGCTACATATGCTCAGCACAGTGTAAGAACAGACACATTTATTTGTATGTTGTCTGTCTGTCTATCCACCCATTTCATGTGATGGTAGTATACTATGCTTGCTGTTTGTTACTTGTATTTTTATTTAGTAATGTTGACAGTAGCCAGTAGGTCATTATCCCCGGCCCCCCTCCATGCCATCCAATAATGGTGTTTTATGAACACCAACACTTGTTTTTGTTTGTTTGTTTGTTTTTGTTTTTGTTTTTCGAGACAGGGTTTCTTTGTGTAGCTTTGGAGCCTATCCTGGCACTCGTTCTGGAGACCAGGCTGGCCTCGAACTCACAGAGATCCCCCTCTGCCTCTGCCTCCCGAGTGCTGGGATTAAAGGTGTGCCAGACTGACACCCAACACTTTTACAACACAATGGAGACGCCTTTGGGAAGGGACTGGCTGGTTCAATTCTCACTGCTTCAAAGCTCTATGGTTACCTGCTGCTTCGAAGGTCCTCACCTAAAAAACCAGAGTGATGCTGGGCGTTGATGGCGCATGCCTTTAATCCCAGCACTCGGGAGGCAGAGGTGTTTAGACCATCAGGTGTTTTGTTTGCTTTTCTTTTTTATTGGCACCAAATAATCACCCCCCTTTAAAATGGGTCTTTTTTTTTTTTTTCTATTTCTTTGTTTTTTGAGACAGGGTTTTTCTGTGTAGCCAAGGATTTTCTGTGTAGGCAGATCTCTGTGAGTTCGAGGCCAGCCTGGTCTACAGAGCGAGTGCCAGGATAGGCTCCAAAGCTACACAAAGAAACCCTGTCTCAAAAAACAAAACAAAAACAGCGACTCTAAACAAGTGCAAGCTCTGGCACAGGAGTAATCAAGAAATAGCAGGTGCCTTTCTTTTGCCTTCCTGATTCAGGAAGCTGGAGAAATTTTAAAAGTTAATCCTAGTCAGTAGAAGAGATGAAGCTATTGTCTTAGATTATTAAATTAATCCCAGCACTTGGGAGGCAGAGATAGGTGGATGGCTGTGAGTTCACAGCCAGCTGGGTCTGTCTAGAGAGTTCCAGGCCAGCCAAGGCTACAAAATGAGACTCTGTCTCAAACTAATAAATGAAATAGACAAACAAAAAACACCACATCAGTATCTGCTGAAATCAAGCATAATACTAGGAAAGGATTCTAATGTTGCCATTTGGATATAGTACAGATACTTGCATATGTGTGTATCTTTTTCCTGCATGTTTTTAAAAATTCATTTCTGGGTGGAGAAAGTAAAAGTTTGCTGCCTTGGGTCACCAAGGAGATTTTTCATCCTGGAAGAATGAGCAGGAGCGTAGCCAGTATATCCTTTGAGCAGCTGACTCAGGCATTTCAACACACACTTGAGCTTTGTGCTTTCAGGAGAGGATTAGATCACGAGAACTTGGCAGAAACTCCTAAGGTTTTCAATCAATGCCAATGCTTTTGAACACTTACAGCACCATGCCAGCTACCAGGCTGCCAACTGGGAGAAACAAAGCCATTCTAAACGAGCACCCTTGAAAAGTACAAAGATTAGAAGAGTCCTTAATGATCTATTCAGAATTAGCATCTCTACTATGATTACTACAAACATGCTAAAACAAAAGCAAAGCAGACACACACCCAACCTAAGGGCCACTATATTAAAAGAGCAATGGCTATGGGCTCAGGACAGCCCACTGGTAGACTGCTTTCCTAACATGCACAGAGCCCCTGGTTTGGCATTCAGCACCTCAAACCAAACATGGCGGTTTATACCTATAAACTCAGCACTAGAAAGAGGAGAATTAAAAGTTCAAGGTCATCTTGGCTGGATACTAAGTTTAAGGCTTGCCTGTACTACATGAAACCTTTGCCAAAAAGGAAGGAAGGAAGGAAGGAAGGAAGGAAGGAAGGAAGGAAGGAAGGAAGAAAGAAAGAAAGGAAGGAAGGAAGGAGTGTACATCCAGCTAATTAGCCATCCATAATGTTTAATGCCTGTAAATTGATATTTTTGTCTTATGCTAAAACCTTCCAGGCTGTCACAGAACCAACCTGGACAATGACCTAAAAAGAAACACCTTTACAACCAACCCATTGGCTTTCAGTTCACTTTTTCCCCCTCATAGTTAAAGATCACCCTCAAAATAGACCCAGCACTGGGGAGGCAGAGGCAGGTAGATCTCTGAGTTTGAGACCAGCCTGCTCTACAGAGCAATCTCATGACAGCCAGGACTACACAGAAAAAAAACCTGTCTTGGCGGGGGGTGGGGTGAGTTGTCATCCACAAAATAACCACACCCACATTTGTCAAGTGCTCTGAGCTCTCAGAGGCTAGAGCTAATTTTCTGTCTTGCATGGATCACTCTTATTTAAAATGAAAGGGAGGGCCTAGGTAGTAGTAGAGTTCTTGCCTAGGACTTGAGGCTTTAGGTTCCATCCAAAACAAAAAGATTCAAAGAAAAAACAAAAGTGAAAGAGCTCCTATCCATTCTGAGACGTATCAGTCTAACCCCTTCACCTTTCCCTTTTTTCTGGCTTTTTGAGACAGGGTTTCTCTGTGTAGCTCTGGCTTCCCTGGCACTCGCTCTGTAGACCAGGCTGACCTCTAATTCACATAGATCCACCTGCTTTCTGCCTCCTGAGTGCTGTGACTAAAGGCGTGTGCCACCACTGCCAGGCCCCTTCTCCTTTTTCAGGTAACAAAGGCACGGCTGGTATGAGATGGTTCACCTGGTAAAGGTGCTTGCCGACAAGCCTGAGGACCTCAGTCCCAGGGACCCACAGAGTAGAAGGAGAGAAAGGACTCTAGTAAGTTGTCCTCTGACCCCTGCAAGCACACACACAAAGTAAATAATTGTAATTAACAAACATTGTCTGTTTTGTACATGTTTTTATAAATATATTGAAGAAAGGATTTTTAATCAAAATATTATAGTGCTTCTATATATGTTGATTTTAAATTTACAATTCTGTGTATTTTAAATGTAATGCCTGTATTATGTATTTTTAAAAGTAAGGTCATCTGAACTTAAACAGCAATTTAAGACGGTCTCAAAAGGGAGGGAAAGAAGAAAAGAATGTTTTTATAGCTTTAAAATGTGTTTGTTTTTGTTTTTCAAGACAGAGTTTTTCTGTGTAACACTGACTATCCTGAACCTCACTCTGTAGACAGAGATCAGCCTGCCTCTGCCTCCTGAGTTCTGGGATTAAAGGCATATGTCACCACTACCTGGCTAAAATTTTTATTTATTTGCGTGTACCTACCTGTCTGTACGTGCACACTTGTATACAATACCCACAGAGGCCAGAGGGCCTCAGATCCCCTAGAGTTACATGTGGCTGTGAGCCAATGAAGTAGATACTGGGAACTAAACTCAGGTTCTCTGCCACAACAGCCTGTAGTAGAATACTATTTTAGGTGTGTGAGTTTTGTTTATGCTGCATTTGTTTAACTCTATGAAGCTGTGATTCTTTGTCTGTCTAAAACACCTGATGGGCCAGGTGGCTCACGCCTATGATCCCAGCACTTGGGAGGCAGAGCAGTAAGACCTTTGTTGTGAGTTCGAGGCCAGCCTGGCCTACAAAGTGAGTTCCAGGACAGGACAACAAGGGCTACACAGAAAAACCCTGTCTCAAAAAACAAAGAAATAGAAAAAAAAAAAAAAAAAAAACCCATTTTAAAGGGGGGTGATTATTTGGTGCCAATAAAAAAGAAAAGCAAACAAAACACCTGATGGTCTAATAAAGATCTGAAATATCGAGGCAGGAGCAAGGACAGGTGGGCTGGCAGCAGAAAGTAGTAGAAGGGGAAAGAGGAAGAGGGAGAGCAATGAGAGAACACACACAAAAAAGGAGGAAGACAGGTGCCAGTCACCCAGACAGCCAAAGAGTAAAAAGGAAAGTGAGATATTCGGAATTAAGAAAGATAAAAGCCCAGAGGGAAAAGGTAGATGGGTTAATTTAAGATAAGAAAAACTAGGGGCTGGAGAGATGGCTCAGAGGTTAAGAGCGCTGCGTGTTCTTCCAAAGGTCCTGAGTTCAATTCCCAGCAACCACATGGTGGCTCACAACCACCTGTAATGAGATATGGTGCCTTCCTCTGGCCTGCAGGCAACATGCAGGCAGAACACTATACACATAATAAATAAATAAATCTAAAAAAAG